TTTAGTTGTAATAAAAACCAAAGATTTTTTTAATTTTAATTTAATTTTTTAGTATTATTATGTTCTTTACAAATAGACGTAAATACAAAGATAAAGATCTGTTACAGAATACTTTGTGTTAGTAAGAAGCAAAATTTTTTCCTTCTTTATATTTATTAATTTTTAAGAAGGGAAACTTAATCAGCGAGAGCTACTGAGTTTTTACTTACAATAATAAGCTAAATGTTTGGAGAATATATGCATACAAACAACACGTGTAACTCAATAATTTAAGGAAGAGAGGAGCAAAAATGACCAAGTATCTTTATGGTGACTGATAGGAAACATTTTTCAAATGCTTGAAAAGGAAAGTGGACAAAAATCATAAAAAGTATATTATAGTAAGAAGCAAAAATTTGATATACACTGTAATTGTGCTATATTATCCATTGCTTAATTACCACATGCCTATTTTGCATTGGGTTACTCCAATTCTTTTATTGATTCCATTAACCATATTCGATCTCATTCCCAGTGCATGTTACCAATTTGATCTAAAATGTTGGTACCCTTGTTCTGTTATTTCAACAATTAAATTGTTGATAACTTGCTTGAAACTTCATTTCCTCCTAATCCACAACAATTTTTACCTTTATTGGGAAACAATCCTACATTTTCCTTTCCAACCCCAAATGAAAATCGATCACTCTGTTGGGTCGTTGCCTATTATATCATTTTTGTGTTTTCCTACCTTGTGATGAAATACATGACCAAAACAGTGGTACACCATCAATAACTCGACCTAATAGATCTTTCTACCAGCGCAGTTGGGAATTATCAATTATGTTTTCATTAACTTACGATAGCTTTACTTACTAAAAAAAAAAAAAACTTAGGATGGGTCAACAGGAGTTGTACATTTTACAGCAACTGGACGAATAATTGAGTCAACATCTACAAAATAAATAGTTTATTTTCTCAATCTCTAGACAAAATAAATTGTCTTTCTATAAAATGAAACAGCAATTCATAAACATTGTACTCAAAAATCAGCAAGGGGTGATCAGTAAAACATATAGCTTAACAACTATTGATTTAGGAACGTTTGCCGTCGACAAAATCAATTTTATGGCAAGATAATCATGTATCTACCTTTTACGAAGCAGCAAACATGATTACTCATGAACATTAAATTGATGTAAAATTGCTATGTATTAGTGTGTGTATATATATATCAGTTTGTTTTCACTTAAAAGAAATTTTATAGCACTCCATTATATAACTCATAAATTTAAAAAAATAAATTATTAAAAGTTTACTATTATGAGGAAATAAATGGACGGTTACCAGTAGAGCTGGCAAAAAAACCCAAAACCCAACAACCCGCCCAACCCGCCCATTAATTTTAAAGGATGGGTTGGGTCAATTGGGTTATGGGTTTTGTTGGGTTGGGTAAGAACAACCCAACTTTTTTATTGGGCGGGTTGGATTTTTTATTTGGATACCCAATACCCAACTTGTTTAAAAATAATTCAAAATAATAAATACAATATTCAATACACATATTCCCAACTATTTGTATTTGGACATGTGTTAATAATTCATTGATTAATTTGTATTCAAAATTCTCATATATATATATATATATTTTTCAATAAAGTTTTTTAATTTTTATTTAAAAGAAAAAAGAAATTTAAAATAAAAACTCATGCTTATTTTACTTTTATAATAGTAGTTAAACTTGTTCAACTTCTATAATATTTTATTATGCCTTTTAAGAGTATGTTATAACCTATTTAAGTGAAAACCCAATATTAATCCACCAAAAACCCGCCCAACTTGTCCAATTGCCAGCTATAGTTACCACTTACCAGTATAATTTACCGTATTTCGAAAAGATATGCTACTTGTTTGAAGTAAAATCTGGAATAAAAAACATGTTCTTTTAACAATACTTAGGAATGTTTCTTTCTGAACTAATGCATTCCTTACTCGTCGCCTTTTTTCTTTAAGCTAGAAAATTCACATTATTCATTCCTGCTCATATGACAAGCGTGCAACTTAATCAGAAGTATGAAAGATAGTTAAAATGGAAAATTTTTTGAGCAAGTCGCGACCAAAATTGTGTTAAAAATTGCTATATATAATGACCAGTTGGAGAATTTTATATTTAAAACCTTTTCTCTTGTAAAAGAATAATTATTTTCCATTGGTCATTTGTTGGCCTACCCTCTTGCTAAGGACCGCCATGGAATTTCCATTTACCTGGACCACAAACAACAAACATCCAAATATCTTAACACTCCACCTCTCACGTATTGAAACCAAACCAAAAATATTGCTGTTGCTTAGCATCAAGCAATAGAACTTATCTTTATTCAGAAAACTAAGGAGATGCAGGTATTTTTAACTTTTTCTGTGCAAACATCGAACTTTTATTGATATAGGACACCCGTATTTCACGAGAGGAAAATAAATTAAACCTCATATGCCTGATCACAAATTACTAGACACAAATAAAAAGCACCAGCGTTTTCAAAATTCTAAGAGCATACCTAAAGACTTGCAAGTCCTTAATGACTTAGCTGAGATAAAAGTCAGGTGAACATTCTCGTTAGCTGCATTGCAATCTGATTACTGTTAGAAGATGCAGTGGAGACAAAGTTGACAAACATTGCAAGTTGGTAAAAGAAGTAGTATTATGAAATTGAACGATAACAGTTTAAGACAAAGCTGACCAACAGGATCACGGATTCACGAATCCATGTACTCCATAGACAGAACCAGAAAAAATTTCTTGAAATGGCGAATTTAATATACCTGAACTTAAATGTATAACTTAAAATTTTTTAGGTTTTTATGGGGGGCAAGTTATAATTTATAAAGAGTGTTTTTGAAAATTTTTAATTTTGTAACGGGGGGAAATTGAAATTTTGTAACGGGTTATTCTCTGCCAACATACTAGATGACTGATGTACTAGTTATCCTTTAGACTTTGATGCTTCATTGTTTGTTTTTATTTTTATTTTATTTTAAATGAACGTAATCCGTGGGTTTGAGAAAATGAGTATTAGCTTTATTATTGTTGGGATACTTCTATGGTCATAAAATCGCGCGCAAAACTCTTAAAAAAATATATTAAGATTAAGGATTTAAATTTATTAATGCTTAAATTTGTCATTTATGACTTTATTGCTTAAGTTTGCAATTTTATATTTGAATATGACTATGTAAACCGAGTTTGTTTGAAACATTGAAGGTTATATTTTTTGCGTTATGATTTTGCTTTTTAGGTAAGAGTAATTTTTTAATAATGTTTCTTAATTTTATTTAAATATTTTTCTCTAATACATATATATATTTTGTAACTTTTACCATATTATTTTACTTTATTGTATTTTTAAATATTTAAAAATTAAAATTTGCGAGGCAATGCCTCGAGGTTTTCGTTCCGTTTGGACAGATATAAAACGTCGACCCATACCTTGGCCTTGTAAAACGTTGATCATATTTGAGCACTCAAAGCATAAGGTGCTGTCTGCTAAGAAAATTAAGTTCTCCTTATGGGCTGTCTGTGGATGGCTTTCTACTCTTCAAAGAGGCGAATCTTGTTAGAGGCCAGAGTGAGCTGGAAAGGGAGAAAAGGTATCTTAAATATAGAGCTGTTAAACGAACCGAACTGTTCGTTAGCTCGGTTCGTTTCGGCTCGTTCGTGTTCGTGAAAGGTTCGTTCGAAATTTTAAACGAACCGAATTCGAACGAATTTTTTTGTTCGATTAATAATCGAGCGAACACGAGCATGTTCGCGAGTTTTAATGAACATTCGCGAGCATGCTAAACGAACGTTCGCGAACACGAGTATGTTCGCGAGTTTTAACGAACGTTCGTGAATATAGACATAATTATCATTTGACAAATTTTAGGGTTAATTTTATGGCTGGACTTTTATTTTGGAGGGCAAATTTCTTTGTTTTATTTGTTGTTTTTATGTTAATGTTAGTTATATAGTTAATGAATAATAGAATTTAGTCACTTAGTGCTTTAATTATTTTTTAGAATGATTAATAATTTGCATGGCATATTTAAAGTATAAAATAATTTGGATTCGAGCATTTCGAACATGTTCGCGAACGGCTCGTTTATGTTAAACTAGCCGAACACGAACTCGAACTCGAACACGAATTTTACTTAACGAACCGAACACGAACACAGGTTTGGAGTTCGAAAATTAACGAACGAACACGAACGTTGTTCGAACTGCTTAACGAACAGAGCTCAAACATGAAATACTCGGTTCGATTCGGTTCGTTTACAGCTCTACTTAAATATGCATTTGACTTTATATATACCAGCTTGATCTGTACTGGCAAAATCAAAAGATAAGAAGGTAAATCTTTTGGTAATAAACAACAAGATCAAAAGAAAAGAAAGTAAATCTTATGGTGATAAACAACAGGTGCAGGAGCACATGCACTCTTATCATGGTACCATAGTTTGCATCCACTCATTTCTAGCTTCAATTTCAGCCCCCGAACTTTCAAGAACAACTGTCCATATACATGCATGCATGTCGACATTAAGGTAATGTACGGACAGAATTATGCATAGATTTGGAATATAATCGAAAGGAAGACAGCCCGGCATTAGCAACAAAGTAATTAATATTACAGAGACAAATCCTACTACAGGCATGCTTTTTTTTTTAATTATTATTATTAAAGAGAAGAATCTCTATCCATTTTTCCAAACAAAGATATATAATAAATCCTCGTAAAAATGAAGACACGATTTCAATTCTTTCAATGCTCGTCAAAAGGGCATCTAAATCACAAAAAAGCAAAAATGTGTAGACATACAAAAGTCTTGCACAAGGGATCGCTAGTGATGGAGGGAATCAAAACCAAGGATGAGTAAAAGAATTGTCCTGGCATATGCTAACTCTTTCTGTGGCATATCCAAATTAAGGTGCGGACCTTCTTTCTATAAGAAGCAGTCTCCAATTTCTGTGGCATTTCGAGCTCAAGTTTTTCTTTGAAGTTAAGGGAAAATGTGGTGTACGAATAACAGTGCAATCCTCCCTGTGGCATGAGGTCAATGCAAATGCATACTTCATCATGCCTAAGGAGAATTGCCCTGCTATTCACTACCACAAGTCAGTTGCATACACATTGTGTTCATTTTCCTTGAAAAATTTTCTTGAAAAAGAGAAGTATAATTATTTTGAGACGCCATCGCGACATTCATTACCATGTTTTCCATTCCATTAAAAGAGTTCATACTACATATTCGAATTGCAAGTAAAAAATGAGCAAAAATTTTACTTCACTTGACTTTTCTTGTGCACTGTGAGTCCCAATGCTTCTTCTATATCTAAATCTTCAGTAAATATTCCTTCACGAAGTGACCAATTAAATAGAGCCAGAAGATTAGCAACGGCAAGCTCAATGACTGGGACAGAAAAATCAATTCCAGGACAACTCCTCCCTGTCCCGTACCGGATCAGCTCAAAATTTTGCCCTCTGGAATCCACAGAGCTATTCAAGAATCTTTCTGGCTTGAAGTCATTTCGCTTTTCCCAGAATGTAGGGTCAGTAGCAATTGAAGCTCTTGTTTTGACCCGAATTTGGAACCCTCCTATCATGCAACTCTCAAGAGTTTCTGGAGGAACAAGTAAAGGGGCGGGTGGATGCAGTCTCAATGACACTTTTACTACCAGATTTAGGTAGGTGAGTTTTGAAAGATCAGTTTCTTCCACCTTTCTTTTTTCCTTGATGACTTCTTTGACTTGCTGTTGAGCTTTTCTTTTCACCACTGGATTCCTAATTGTTTCCTCCCTTGGCTATGACCAAGTTGCAGCAGAACTATCACTTCCAGCTACAAGAATGTCTTGTAATGCTCAACTTAATTAATGGTTGGCTAGTTCAAATATATCTATGTGCATGTATGTGTGTGTGTATGTATAAGCTCTAGACGTATAGGTTAAACATGAGGTGAACTATAATATTTCTAGTTAGGTAAAAGGTAATTATAGATAGGGTCATAGATTAATCAAAATTTTACTATTAATGTGAGCTAACATGGATCTTTGCTAGATTAAAAATTAAGCAAAATATGCTCCATTTGAGGTGGTTATAATAAAATCTTATGCTAGCTTGGCTCCGATGATAGTCAAGTCAATCACGAATATAGATATTATAAATTATGTGTGCGTTCAGGCTATAAAGATCAAATCAAGCTCTTTTTTTTTTCTAAGAAAAATCATAGTTTCATTCATGAAATCTGCACCAGTGTTAGAATATACGAGATCAAATGAAGCTAGAAAAGTATAATGTTGGGTTTTAGTATTATAGACCAAGTCATGTGACTGAGAAATGTATTTTCAAATTATATCAAGATGTTTATTTGGATTAATCACTAAATTATGAATCATTTGAGATATGGAAGTATTATTTACTTGAAGAGTTGACCGAATCTGAGAACTCAATTGTTGAAAAATGGGTGGAACTGCACAGGAAAATCAATAATGTTACAGAGAAACAAAGGCTAAAGATTGCTCAGAGCTCGTTTCCACCCTATATAATTTACACGAATACAAATACTTCATGAAAAAAAGGAAATAAAAGAAGGGAGAAAATTAAGGATATGCATATTATAAGTATTCCTTTAATATTTTTATTTTGGTTAGACTGATTGCTTGGGCTGCATCTCCCTGGATTCGGAGCAATACATCAACAGGATCATCGTGGTCGGGTTTAATTCTCTGGGGATCGTGATGCTCCTGTATTAACTTGTCAAAGAAATCATCCAGCTCCCTGAAGTTCTTATCGAGCCTTGAATCCATGGCATTAAACTTGTTAAGCCATTCCATCGATTCAAAAAAATCAGCAATATTGGGTTCAACTAGCAAGTTTTGTGGTTCATGAAGAATTGCATGGAATCCGCTATTGCCACCATGACTACGACCAAAAGCAGGACGACAAATAACATTTTTGGAGAGGGTAAAAGACAGTTAGCTAATGTTGATAGGAATATTTGGTGAACAAGATAGTATTGTGTTGACCACTGAAGACACCTCTTCATCACAAATTGCCTTAAAAGATTGCACTCTTTTTGCACTTAGCAACTCCAAGACTATTATTTTTCTCATCTCCCCCCCCCCCCCAATATTCACCATAGCGTACGTGCAAATGATAGGGTTTCGACTGAGAAATGCTACGCAGACCAGTGCCTCTGTGGCATCATTTCCATGATGGGATGTTTGTCGTCTTTTGAATGAGCCTAGTCGAATGCAATAAGAAATTTATTTAGAGATACTTATTTGGCCGAAAGTAGTAAAATAGGATAGGCTTATAATTAATTAGGGAAAAGTACTAGTAACTCCTTGTAGTTTCGTGTATTATCATATGAATCTTCTAATGTTTCAAAATATCTACATAGAACAAGGTTTTAAACACTTTGTATAAAATCATAAGAAGATTACTTGAACATATGTAAAACCATAGACGTATATGCAAAAAAGCATATGAGTTAAAAAGGATATTATAATTTCATTGCACACATTTTTTAAGCACATTTGGTTCAAAGGCTGAAATCGGAGGTATATTTCATTCATTTTTCACTTTATACCAAAGGGGGATTATGTGCTTATTTTGAAACTTTATTGGGGTCTTATATCAATATTCAAAACTATATTGGGGTTATTAGTAATTTACCCTTATTATTATTATTATTATTATTATTTCTTTAGCATGATACAACTCATTCAGAATTCTTTTGGGGGAAATAGCTCACTCTGTATCACTCTAGAGTTGGTAAAGGGGTAATCACACCTCATCCAGGAAATTGATGGAGTCATTCCAAGCAGCAGGAATCAAGCACATCTACGCAGAGCGGCATAGACGTGCAGATTTTGGAGGGGGCCGAGCAAGAATCTTTTCTTTTGCTGGATTGTAATCCCACTATTTAGCTATTGGTTGGAAGATGACTGTCGAGGATTTTCCGCTTTTGTTATGAAAACAAGGGGCGCCCCCCTGGTGGGTTGGGGGGGGGGGGGGGGGGGAAGAGGTTCACTATCAATGAGTGAAAACAGGGCCAAACGTCAAACGCAGCCTTCTTGGTCCCGCCGCCGCCGCCGTCTTCAACACTCATGTTTTTTGACGTGCTGTTACATTGGACCACCGACACATATAAATTAGCATATGACGACTGTTTGTGTATCAAAAAGTTACACATAATACAAGAAGAAAGGAAGAGGAAATAAATGCGGTGCGTGTTAATTTCATTTAAAAGTTTGTTAATTTTTCAGTTACTCTAAATAAAGAGGTATAGCTTTTTTATCATGTATTTTTTAAAAAAAAATTTTAATAAATAAGTCGAAATTTATGCCTAACCCCCACCATTTCTCGGTGATTTCCTTAAGAAAAAGGAGGTGGAAATAATTACACGAAGAAAGTAAAATAGAAAGAAAAGAAAAAACAATTATGCACACGGAGTCCTCGACTTGATCAACTTGAGAGGTCCTTGACCTCCTCGAGACACTGGGGCCATTTGGATACCATAATTTGGAAAAAAAAATTCAAATATTATCATACTTGCATCATAAATATAAATTTTTATTAATTCCCATATGAATCATTCACAAAAAGTGTTACAGGTGTTATTCCAAATAATCTCCTATCTTTCTACCAAGATGATTTATTAGTTGTCATGATGCCAGACCAATGCAGGATCAAGAAGAGTTGTGATGGAACCAAGATCTGCATGATTACGATCATCATGCGAAAGCCATCTTGGACAAGAGTTGGGAGAAAAATGGTTGGCCTCAGCCTCATCATTGGTCTCAATGTTGGTACCCTGTGCCACTCCCGCGGTCCCAACCTCATCATTGGTCTCACCGTTGGTACCCTCTGCTACTCTCTCGATAAATTCGTGTTCGAATCCCCCGAAATCCGTGTTGAGAAAATCCAAAAGGAACTTGTCCTCGATTTCGAAATCCATCATGAAGCCCGATAAGTAGCCTTCTTCTCCGGGAAAAATTGGTAGTGATTCCTTTACCCCACCTGAAGGTGGCTCCGGACCAACGGTGTTGTTATGACCAGTAGGAGTTTTGTTGAAGTTGTTTTTGGCATCACTGCTGGGCGGTGGAGCTTGAGCTTTCACCGCCATAATAATACCACCTTGTTCTGCACCTGCAGAAGCTTGCAAGTGTGCGTTGATGAAAACTTTAGTGCACCTCCTAGCTTTGGTTCGGATCACAGGAGTACAGAAGGATCCAAGCTTTTCTGAATTTGGTGGTTTGTCAGCACTCGTTAAATTTTGCAGTACTGCTGATCTGGACCTAGTTGATGACGGTTTGCGTTTTGTGCTGGAGGAGCTAGCTAAGTGTTGGCCGTCTTGAATTTGAATTTTTTTGACGATGTTGGTGTTCCAATAGTTCTTGATCTCATTGTCTGTTCGTCCCGGAAGCCTTCCAGCTATCAAAGACCACCTGCAAGACAACACTGATGACCCTTAACTAAAAGATAGGAATTAGGAACATAGGAATGCTGTAGATGTTGTGATTTCACTTCCGCATGATACACTTTCTCCCCCAAGTATAGAGCCCAATTTTTAGGAAATTGAAAGAATTTTATATACGTCCATGACTTTCAAAGATACAGCGTCTAAGAATCCTAAAAGCCTATACCTAACAACTGTCAAATCTCGACAAATTAGGTAGAAGTACGTGTTGGCCCATCTGCTGCACATCACGCAGAAAAAGGTATCGTTACCGGTGCCAGAATGCGAACAAAATGTAAAACGTACATATCAGCCTCCTTAGGCTCCCCCTCTCCTAAATTAGGATAGAATAGGTTATACAAATGTATCGTTGCTGAAAAAAAAAAAAAAAAAAAAGGTAAGCATGAATGGTGAAATGACAGGCCTGTTTCCAAGGAGCTTGTGTAGCCTGATTATGAGGTCCTCTTCATCATCGGTTATGTTTCCTCTCTTGATGTCAGGTCTAAGATAGTTCAACCAACGAAGTCTGCAACTCTTCCCGCATCTTTTGAGACCTAGTTTTTCGCCAGTTAATTTACACCGAGTAATACAAGACTTTAGCTTTTTTATTCCACTATAAACACTTATCAAGCACCTCAATCATCATGCACTTAATCTGATCAAAGTAACTGACCTGCTCGTTTGGCAAGACTTGTCCATTTTCCTGCGCCGTGGGACTGGACATAGTCTCTTAGCATTTTATCTTCCAATGGAGTCCAAGCCCCTCTGTTTAAGCCTTCCCTAGCACAACATGGGCGTCTCCCCATCTTTCTTTCTTTCCTTCTTGTGCGTGTATTTCGAAAGTTTGAACGACTATTACTGTGTCAATGGATTCTTGTGCCAAGAGAGACACGTGAGTGGCCTTGGGCACTGAATAAGATCGCGGGAGTGAGTATAGCTACTCGTTCTCCCGGAATGGTAGAGGAATGCGTGCACATTTATAGTGGTCTTTTTCATATGTATGGTTTGTAATACAAATCCTACTCAAACCAAAAAAAAATATATATATATCTATCAATAAGTCAAAATTTAAAAAATTCATCGAAAAATGATCGAATTACCAAATATATATCTAGAAATATCTCATGTTTTTTAAAACATCATTTGTTTTATGCAACACTTATTATGCATCTATAAAATTACTCGTTGTTGCATTTGAAATCGAAGCACAAGTTTGGGGTAGTAAGGATTTAAATGTTAAGTTTTGTTGTAAGAATTTGTGGGTGGGGGAAGAGGAAGATAATGTCAATAGAAGGGGAACATAATAGAATTTCCCAAACTTTTGGGGGCAGGTACACCTCCCCGGCCCGCCATCCGTTGCCAATGTTTTGGAGGTTTACTTGTTAAGGAGACATCGTCATACTCTTTTTTTTTTTTTTTTTTTTTTTTAAGGAGACATCGTCGTACGAGATTCTAAATTATTGCATAGCAGCAGCAGCGTACATTCCAAAAGTAAAGGTAGAAGGCTCAACACGGTTTCTGTGTCCGTATCCGATGGGCGGGACCAAGTGTTTTGATAATTTAACTGAGTACTTAAATTTAACCGACTCATGTACTATTAATACATTCCTTTAAAAAAAAAAAAAGTATTAATACATTCATGCGTATTTGATGATAAAAAAATAGTACATTAATTTTAATTAATTAAGTAGCACATTAATAGTATTAATACATTTTTTTTTGAAAAAAAAGTATTAATTAATACTTTTTTTTAAAAAAAAAGTATTAATACATTCATGCGTATTTGATGATAAAAAAATAGTACATTAATTTTAATTAATTAAGTAGCACTTACTTTCTTATGCAAAACTTACTTTAAAAAATAAGTGATATACTATTCATTTATCACTTAATTCAAAATATGTCTAAATGTTAAAATTTTAGTACCACAAATTTAATAATTTAATATATTCAAATTTTAGATTTTAGATTTTAATTTTATCAAACACTCAGTAAACTATCCATCAAAGGCCATCAAAGATCATGTTTGATTTTATATGTATAGCGTACGTGATGAGAAGCTTTTGACAAGTAGGATAATTTTATTATTGTTTTTTTTAAAGGCGAAAAATAGGATAGTTACTTACTCCTATATTTTGGATTATTACTCGTATTCGAACCCTGGTAGAGTGTAAACTCGAATCGAACAACAAGCAATTCATTGAAGTAGTAAAATTATCATTTTAAGAGAATTTTGTAGAAAATAAATAGACAAGGAAAACTCAAGGCTTTTATATGTAGTTAAATATTCGCACTATTTTTCATGAAGACAGACTTATTTTTATTCTCACCCACATTGAGGACAGTAAGTTAATATAGTTAAAATAATCATTTTGCTTAGTACTTTCCTCAAATATCCTTCAATTAATGCAAAATGACACATATTATACTATTCAAACGACTAACTCGAGTTACTAAATCTTTCCTAGAACTTATCATCGTTAATACCAAATGACAAATTAGTTGTCATTTTTTAAAATCAAACAATACAAATATACAAATAAATTTATGAGACGGAAGAATTATGCGAAGATAAATAGTTTGGAACACCTGGGTTTGTCGATCCCTGAGGTGATACTACTTGTAA